AATCTAAGGCTTGCAACTCATTGAGTGCCTTTAAAGTCAACAATCGTTCGAAATGAGGATTTGTATTTACAAATAATACCTGTCGTGTTGACATGCGATACCGTAGTCCAAGCAGTACATAACAAACTTCTTGTGCGCTAGTCTCTTGTGAGTTAAGCATCGCATTGCCAATGACCCGCAACATGGCTTTTGTACCACCTTTTTGTTGTCTGGCCCTCTCCATGGCTTGTTGCATCATGACGCTCATACCTTTGTTAGCTTTTGTCATATAAGAGACGATGTATGTATGAAAGAACAAGGTATAGTTAGGTGCCATAGCTAGGTAAGTCCTAGCTAGGCAAGAGAGAAAAAACAAAGGAGGGGGTTCACTAGAAAGCAGCAGGATACATATAGGGAACCCTAAGGGGTTGTACTCGCTATAGAGTACCCCACTGCAGGCTACAAAACAATAACATTCTGACACACCCCCATAGTCAAAGTGGGGTATAATCAGCACAGCAAGAAGTCCTAGAGCAGGTTCACGTGCACAAGTAAAGCTAGAGGCAGTCGCAGAGGGCAAGTGAGGAGGAGGAGGAACTGTGGAAGGAGAGAAGATGGGAGGCAACGTCTGAAGCTGCAGAGGCACGGGCACAGAAGCGGCTGACTCAGTGGCTACGAAGCAAGGGCGACGGACTACTGGAGTAACTGGCTCCGCGGCTATAGACGAGCGGCAGGAGCAACGGAACCACTGGCGACTGGTGCAACAGGCTCACTGGCTACCGAAGCAAGGGCGACGCACTACAGGCGCTACAGGCGACACGACCGCTACCTCCAAACAACCTCCTCCAGCTGCCCCACGCCCCTCTCACACACCCCCTGCTCAAGCCCTAGCTACACTCCCACGGTACCCCCCTTCACCCTAAACCGTAGGCTCCCACACACCCACCCCCCTCAGCAGCAGCTGCAGCAGTGGGAGACCAGGGAGGAGGAGGAGCAAGGGGAGTAACACACAACCGCCACCTCCACACTCCTCACCCCCAAACCCAAATTCAGGAGAACGGGCAGCAGCAGGGGTGGGGCACCGTCAGAAGCACGGGGGATAGCGAGCAGCTCAGGGACAGAGAGGAACGGGCCGCCCACGGGCCTGGCACAGCCTGACGAACCACGCGCAGGCAGCCCGAGCCGCGCGCGGGCCTGGCGCAGCCCGTACGGGCCGTGCGCGGGCCTGGCGCAGCCCGTACGGGCTGCGCTCGGGGCTAGCGCAGCCCGCGTTGGCCAGGACGGGCGACGGGGGACGACGGGCTGGTCCCCGTCGCCCGTCGAAGCGCCCCCCGGGGGCGACGCGCAGACCGACGGGGCAGAAGGCCGCCGCGCGCCTCGGGGCGCACGGCGGGCAGAAAACCGCCGCGCGCCTCGGGGCGCATGGCGGGCAGAAAACCGCCGCACGCTCCGAGCGCGCGGCTGGAAGAGAAATCCGTCGCACGCCACGGGGTGTGCAACACACAGAGTAGCAGCGGAAGCAGCAGTAGGGCCCACAGGCCAGGAGCGTGAGTTCTCTGAAACCATGTGAAATAACAAGGTATAGTTAGGTGCCATAGCTAGGTAAGTCCTAGCTAGGCAAGAGAGAATAAGCAAAGGAGGGGGGTTCACTAGAAAGCAGCAGGATACATATAGGGAACCCTAAGGGGTTGTACTTGCTATAGAGTACCCCACTGCAGGCTAGAGAACAATAACAGTATGCAGCAACGCTGTTTGGATCGATACATAATTGAACATCCATATTGCCGTTCCATGCACATAGATGTGTTGGATTGTAATTGTTAAAAAACACATCGCTCACCTTCCGCTGGAGGACCAGCGTAACACGCTTGAGAGTAGACTGAATCACCGCTATATAGTCTGATAACTAAAGCCCAAGGTCTTCTATGAACGAATCGAATGTACCAGAAAAGGTTGGAGCTAGCTCTAAACGCTCTTTTACAAGAGCGAGATTACTCCTAATCATTTTCTGTTCCAATACGGTCAGCGTAGTGGAAATAGGTTGCAAGATCATTGTAGACGGGAGCGGAAGCCATGGAAATCCAAATCTACACATCGTGATATTCGCTGATCAACGTTGGCAGGACCGAGAATGCTTATGGATTTGTAAAAGTATAAGCTCTTCAGGCGACGAATTGATATGTTTATTTGCGAATTGGATGTTATCTGCTGCAAAATTCATAGTAGTATCCATAGACGATTGGCTCCAAATAATGGCATGTGTATGTGGCGCACCTTGTCAGAATATTATCTTATTGTTCTAGCCTGTAGTGGGGTGCTCTATAGCGAGTACAACCCTTCTAGGGTTTGCTATTTGTATCCTCATTCTTGCTAGTTCAACCCTCCTTCTTCCTTCTAATTTTGACATGCTATCAGAGCAGGTCGATCCCCTTGGATCGATCCTGTGGGTGGGTTACCACCTCGCTTCCGCTGCTACTTTTTCCTCCCGCCGTGCGCCCCGAGGCGCGCGGCGGTTTTCTGCCCGCCGTGCGCCCAGAGGCGCGCGGCGGTTTTCTGCCCGCCGTGCGCCCCGAGGCACGCGGCGGTGCTCTGCCTGCTGTGCGCCCCGAGGCGCGCGGCGGGCTTCTGCCCCGTCGGTCGCCACGTCGCCCTCTGGAGGCGTCGCGACGGGCGACGGGGATCCTTCGCGGCCCCGCCCTACGTCGCGGCCCCGCCCTGCGTCGCGGCCCCGCCCCTCGAAGCGGCCCTGCCCTACGTCGCGGCCCCGCCCCGACCGTCGCGGCCCCGCCCTACGTCGCGGCCCCGCCCTGTGTCGCGGCCCCGCCCCTCGAAGCGGCCCCGCCCTACGTCGCGGCCCCGCCCCGACCGTCGCGGCCCCGCCCCTCATCGCGGCCCCGCCCCTTGTCGCGGCCCCGCCCTCCAACCAGGCCCGTGGTGGGCCCGTTTCACCACACCGCCTCCCCCCCCCTCCCCCTGCCATTTCCCGTCGTCCGTCGAGGCGACCTGTGGGGTGGCGGGTATGGGGGTGGCCGGTGTGCCTTCCTCCCTTGCTCCTCCTCCTTCGTCTCCCACTTCTGCAGCTGTCGCTGAAGGGGGTGGTTGTGTGGGAGACTGGGTTTAGGGTTTAAGGGGGGTGCGTGGGAGTGGAGCTAGCGGTGTAGCAGTGGGTGTGTATCAGGGGGGTGGGACTGTTTGCGGGAGGTTGAGCGGAGGCTGCCGGCTTGTCGTCCGCAGCACCTGTAGTCCGGGGCGCTGTCCCGGTAGCCCAGTCGTAGCCAGCTGTGCCAGCCGCCCGTGGGTCCGTTGCCCGTCCGCCGCTATTTGAGCCGCGGGGCCTGTTACTCCTGTAGTCCGGGCGCTGTCCGGTAGCCGCTGTGCCAGTCTGCCTCCTGTTGCCCGTGTGTCTGCAGCTTCAGCCGTCGCCTCCTGTCTCCTCTCCCCTCACTCTCCCTTCTCCTCCTCACTTGCCCGTTGTGACTACCACTAGCTTTGCTTATAATTGTGAACTCTAAACTATTTCTTCTTGAACTTGTGCTCAGAATGTGTGGTGACATTGTGATCCACCCTGAGCTTGTTTTGCTTTGCCTGCTCTGCTGATTACACCCCACTTTGGCTATGGGGGTGTGTCAGAATATTATCTTATTGTTCTAGCCTGTAGTGGGGTGCTCTATAGCGAGTACAACCCTTCTAGGGTTTGCTATTTGTATCCTCATTCTTGCTAGTTCAACCCTCCTTCTTCCTTCTAATTTTGACACACCTCGATGTTGAAACTCGCCTATCGCAAAATAATCGTCAATACCGCCTGGTACGTGCGAAGTCGTATTGAAGAATCGTGAAAACAAAGCCTTTTTTCTGAAATCGTAGTACCGAGCGCATGTAACCGGATCATTTCGTACCAATGTACAAATAGTATCAAAATCTAGCGGTATGCTGACGTTGCTACGTATTTTAGCCGAATTTCCGCGCAGATATTCACCCCTAAAAGTATTGCGTGGAGATCCGTCCATTTGGTATCAGCCATTGACAACGTTAAGAAAAATGTGGGTCTCCCCAACTGACGCAATATTGCGAAAAGATCTCGCTTGCACTTGTCTCTGTATTGTTGAATAGTCCGTATTGTCTTGAAATCATTGTACAATGCATCTTTCTGCTGCAAACTTGCCTGTTTTGTTTCATTTAACATGTCTGCTGCGGTAAACGACTGAAGATTTTCGATCTTCTCTTGCCTGACCCTTGTCGCGATGACATTCTGTACCCGAAGTATCTCTTTCTTGTACATTTTGAAGAAAATATTTGGAACATTGGTGGAACGGCGACCGTTGGCGTGTTTCAGCTCCCATTTCACAATATCTGAAAACAAGACGTTCATGTCGCACGATCCACCAAATCTCCGACGACCACAATAAATCGACGGAAAATTCAGCTCCTCAAAATCCTTATCGAGGACAAAAGATAGCAGCCTTGCATGCTCGCCGGGTGCCATTTGGACTATGCATTGCGACGGATGTTGAGAGTATCGAGCACTCCAACATTGTGATGATCAGAATCATCACTATCGTGCGAATACAATGATCTCGGTTCTTGTCGCCTCTTGTCATTTTCTTCACTATCATCCGAGGTCAATCCAACGTCATTGTCTTCTAACGATCTCATCTTCATGTTGTCGAGACGAATGCCGTATTCTTTGAAAAGATCTTGATCGCAAAGGAATTGCAACGCTTTCATGATCTTTGCCGGACGTACATTTTCTTCGAAAGCGTTGTTCTTATAAACGAGCTTACGTTTCAGTTGCACGGTGATTGTATGAGTCTCATGTAATAATCTTGGAAGAGACTGTACCATTTTATCGACCTCGACGGGAATATTTATTACTCCGCCATGAATACCAAACTGTTTGCCAACAGACAAAGAATGGATCTTCATCAACGGTATACGGGGACTGATCAACCGTTCCTCCAGTATCGTTATGTATTGAATTGCAGGTGGTTTTGCTAGAAAGCCGTGTCGATTGAGCTTCGAGAATGGCGATACTTTTCCATGGCTTTCATATTTGGCGCAGTAACGACATAGTCGTTTTGAAGACTGCAGGGTCTTTGTCAGAATGTTATTTGTCTAGCTTGCAGTGGGGTGCTCAATACTGAGTACAACCCCTTAGGGTTTTCTATTTGTGTGTCCTGCTGCTTGCTAGTCCACCATTCCTTCCTTCCAATTCTCCTGCCCGTGCCTGTGCTGTCCGTGCCTGTGCTGCCTGTGCCTGTTGCTGCCCGTGCCTGTGCTGCCCTGTGCTGCCTGTGCCTGTTGCTGCCTGTGCCTGTTGCTGCCCGTGCCTGTGCTGCCCTGTGCTGCCCGTGCCTGTGCTGCCCGTGCTTGTGCTGCCTGTGCCTGTTGCTGCCCGTGCCTGTGCTGCCCTGTGCTGCCTGTGCCTGTTGCTGCCTGTGCCTGTGCTGCCCGTGCCTGTGCTGCCCGTGCCTGTGCTGCCCGTGCCTGTGCTGCCCGTGCCTGCTGCTGCCCGTGCCTGTGCTGCCATGTGCTGCCTGTGCCTGTGCTGCCCGTGCCTGTGCTGCCCGTGCCTGTGCTGTCCGTGCCTGTGCTGCCTGTGCCTGTTGCTGCCCGTGCCTGTGCTGCCCTGTGCTGCCTGTGCCTGTTGCTGCCTGTGCCTGTTGCTGCCCGTGCCTGTGCTGCCCTGTGCTGCCCGTGCCTGTGCTGCCCGTGCTTGTGCTGCCTGTGCCTGTTGCTGCCCGTGCCTGTGCTGCCCTGTGCTGCCTGTGCCTGTTGCTGCCTGTGCCTGTGCTGCCCGTGCCTGTGCTGCCCGTGCCTGTGCTGCCCGTGCCTGTGCTGCCCGTGCCTGCTGCTGCCCGTGCCTGTGCTGCCCTGTGCTGCCTGTGCCTGTGCTGCCCGTGCCTGTGCTGCCCTGTGCCTGTGCTGCCCGTGCCTGTGCTGCCTGTGCCTGTTGCTGCCCGTGCCTGTGCTGCCCTGTGCTGCCTGTGCCTGTTGCTGCCTGTGCCTGTGCTCCCCGTGCCTGTGCTGCCCGTGCCTGTGCTGCCCGTGCCTGTGCTGCCTGTGCCTGTTGCTGCCCGTGCCTGTGCTGCCCTGTGCTGCCCGTGCCTGTGCTGCCCTGTGGTGCATGTGCCTGGTGCTGCTCGTGCCTCGTCCTTGCGCCCTCGTGCGCTCTGCTACTGTCTGCGCCCTCGTGCGCACTGTTTCTGCTCTCCCCCCCCCCCCCGTTTGCGGGTATGGGGGTGGCTGGTGTGCATTCCTCCCTTTGCTCCTCCTCCTCCTTCGTCTCCCACTGCTGCAGCTGTCGCTGAGGGGGGTGGTTGTGTGGGAGACTGGGGTTTAGGGTTTAAGGGGCGTGCGTGGGAGTGGAGCTAGCGGTGTAGCAGCGGGTGTGTGTCAGGGGGGTGGGACTGTTTGGGGAAGCTGCATGGAAGTTGCCGTACTGTAGTCCGCAGCACCTGTAGTCCGGGGCGCTGTCCCGGTAGCCCAGTGAGCTAGACTTCTACGCCAGCCGCCTGTGGGTCCGTTGCCCGTCCGCCACTATTTGAGCCGCGGGGCCTGTTACTCCTGTAGTCCGGGCGCTGTCCGGTAGCCGCTGTGCCAGTCTGCCTCCTGTTGCCCGTGTGTCTGCAGCTTCAGCCGTCGCCTCCTATCTCCTCTCCCCTCACTCTCTCACCTCCTCCTCACTTGCCCGTTGTGACTACCACCAGCTTTGCTCATAATTCTTAACTTTAAACTATTGTTTCTTTAACTTGTGCTCAGAATGTGTGGTGACATTGTGATCCACCCTGAGCTTGTACTGCTTTGCCTGCTCTGCTGATTACACCCCACTTTGGCTATGGGGGTGTGTCAGAATGTTATTTGTCTAGCCTGCAGTGGGGTGCTCAATACTGAGTACAACCCCTTAGGGTTTTCTATTTGTGTGTCCTGCTGCTTGCTAGTCCACCATTCCTTCCTTCCAATTCTCCTTCCCAAACCCTAAGTCCTAGTTCTAAAGCACCTTGCCTACCTCCTAGTGTGGGCCTAGGCTACTAAGCCTAGGCCCCACCTCCTACTATTCTAACAGTCTTCTCTTGTACCATATTGTAAGGATTTACAAATCCTTACTGAGGCACTCGTTAGTGAGGCCATCCCGAGGGTCACGCGACGAACCTGACCTTCCTATTTCGTCGCACCGAACCACTCCCGAGTCGGCCTCCGCTCCAATCGCAACCATCACCGAGCCATGACAAGAAGTGAACGAGAGAATGAAATGACTATGAACGAAGTGAGTACAAATAGGAAACCCTAACTGGGTTGTACCCCCTATGGGATACCCCACTATAGCCTACACAAACAAGTAAGCTATGATGTTCTGACACACCCCCATAGGCAAAGTGGGGGAGAACAAGGGGTCACAAGACCAGTCAAGCAAAGCAAAGCAAAGCTCAGGGTGGATCACAAAGTCACCACGCATTCCGAGCACAAGTTCAAAGGCCAGAAGGCCAGTTCACATGCAAGATCATACATAGAGATATACAAGAGTCAAGCAAGCAAGAGCAAGAGTATATATAGGTGAAGGTACAAGCAAGGTCAAGAAGTGAGCAAGTGAGACAAGACAGGTACAAGACCCAACTGCGTGCAACAACGCTGATGATCACAAGGCGCAAGTGCCTTGGTGAAAACATCAGCAGTGTTGGCCTCAGAGGCCACGTACGCAAGTCGCAACTGTCCACGCTGCTGCAGCTCACGAGCAAGAAAGTAGCGGAGGGCAATGTGCTTCGTCCTGTGCTCCAGTCGCTGCTCTCGACACAAGGCCAGCATGGCCTTGTTGTCTACGTACAGGACTGGAGGAGAACGAGGCTGCTCTCCAAGGTCGGTCAGCAGGTAGGTGAGCCAGCGTAACTCCTGTGCAGCCATAGCCCCAGCGTAGATCTCAGCCTCACAACTGGAGCCGAGAACAGAAGACGAGCGGGTAGCCCGCCACGAAATAGAGCCGGAACCAAGGCTGAAGGTGTAACCCTGTGACGACCGCTGCGTAGCCTGGTCGTCAGCCCAAGAAGCGTCTGCGTGCCCAGTGAGGACCACTGGACTGCGCCCTCCAAGCACTAGCCCCATGCCCGACGTACTGCACAAGTAGCGCAACACCCTCTTCGCTGCAGCCATGTGCTCTGGTCTGTGTCTCCCAGGAGCAACATAGCGTGCTAGAATGCTAAGAGGGTATGCAAGGTCAGGTCGTGTGCAGGTCATCAGGTACATGAGGCAGCCAACAAGCTCTGCAAACGGGCCACTCGACTCTACGGACTCATCCGAAGGCAGAGCTGAGAGCGAGTGGCGAGTAGGCAGAGGAGTGGCCTGAGGCGAGGAGTATGTGAAGCCGAAGCGCTGAAGGACCTGCTGCACCATGTGTGACTGAGTCAGGGTAATGGTGCGGCGTGCTCTGTCCCGGGTGATCTGCAAGCCAAGGTAGCTACGCAGTTCACCCAGGTCAGTGCACGTATGTCTCTTCTGCAGCTCAGACTTCACGTAGGCGAGTCCAGCAGTGTCAGCTGTGGCAAAGACCAAGTCGTCGACGTACACGAGGATGTAGAACGGCGGCAGAGAGGTGTCGGTGCGCAGAAACAGCGACGGGTCGGCAGTAGACGGAGCAAACCCAAGTGCCGCGAGCGTAGTCCTCAGTGTGTCGTGCCACTCACGTGGCGCCTGGCGGAGACCGTAGACTGGACGCCGGAGACTCCACTGGGTACCAGGAGGGAAAGACCCAGTGAAGCCAGGTGGGCGGCGCAGCCAAATCTCCTCGTGCAGACTGCCCTGCAAGAAAGCTGTGCTGAAGTCGAGAGAGTGCAGCTCGTAGTCACGGTGAGCAGCAACGTGCAGCAGAACCCGAAGAGAGGTCATCTTCGGGGTGGGGGAGAAGGTCTGAAAGTAGTCAACCCCCTGCCGCTGACTGAAGCCACGAGCCACGTAACGCGCCTTGAAGACAGGCGGAGAGCCCGGCGGCCGCTTCACCCTGAAAATCCACATGCCACTGACGATGTTCGCCCCAGGAGGGGGGACAGCGTCGACGTAGGTGCCTGTGGACTTCTAGGAAGCCATCTCTGCATCCATAGCTGCCTGCCACTGAGAGGAGTAGGGACCCTCTATCGCCTCCGCGTAAGAGCGCGGAGTCGGGATGTCTGGTGCATCCGGGTCTCCCTCAGGGGCTAGCAGTACAGACGCGAGATGGGGTGAAGCGGCGGCCAGACACTGGAACTCCTCCTGCCTGTCCTCAAGGACGTCCGTGCCGAGGGCACACTCACCCCCGACGGACGGAGGACAGGCAGACTCGGACTCAGCGACAAGACTGGCAGCTTAGTCTAGACGACAGCGCGCAGCAAAGTCGACAAGCTCAGTGACAAGGGCAGACGCAGCAGACGACTCGAAGGAAGGGTCAGTGACAGCAGTAGCAAGGAGACGCGTGACAGTAGGACTGGCAGCACGAAGAGAGTCCGACTCCGGGTCGGCAAGAGCAGGAAGAGAGGAAGCAGGAGGAGAAGGCAAAGGGGCACGCAGAGGAGCAGTGGACGGACGCAGTGACATCCGGTGCGTGCCAGGGACAGGAGGAGGACGCTGACGCGACCCGCGACCACTAGCGCGCTCAGTACGAATAGGCGACGCAGGACGAGACGCAGGCTCACGACGCTCAGTGAGACCTCCAGTCGGACCAGCGTAGGGAGAAGGAGCAGGCAAAGGGGAGGCAGGCTGTAGCTGTGGCTGTGACCGGACAGGCTGCGGACCCTCTAAGGGAGGAGGAGAAAGTGGAAGACCAAGAACCTGCTGCAGGAGCGGAACGAAGTACGGTCGGGGCCGCGCGGCGACGCCAGAAACAGCAGGAACAGCACCAGCACCCTCGGCAGGAGCACCCACTCCAGTAGCACCTCCAGAAGCTCCAGAACCTCCAGCAGCAGCACCAGGAGCACTGTCAGTCGGACCGCCAGCAGCAGGCTCAGCGCCAACACCCTCAGCAGCACTAGCTCCAGGAGAACTCGCAGACCCAGCAGCTCCAGCACCCACAGGACGAGCACCGCCGGGACGCGCGGCAGCAGTGCCCTTTGCAGCCGAAGAACCACCAGCACCAGCAGCACGCCTCCAGCGCCTGGCAAACCACTCACGCAGCTCCTGTGGGGAGAGTGGCTCCCGGCGAGACGAAGCACCCCCAGGCTCAGCACCCCCAGGCTCAGCACCCCTAGGCATAGCACTCCCAGGCACAGCACCCCCAGGCTCAGCACCTCTAGGCACAGCACCCCCAAGCTCAGCACCTCCAGGCTCAGTACCCCCAGGCTCAGCACCCCCAGACTCCGCACCCCCAGGCTCAGCACCCCCAGACTCCGCACCCCCAGGCTCAGCACCCCCAGACTCCGCACCCCCAGGCTCAGCTCCCGCAGCAGCACCAGAGTCACCACTGACCTCGACAGGCTCGACCGCGTCTACCTGGGACACACCTGAAGGGGCAGGACCGTGAGGGGGGAGGGGGACTACCGGGGGGGGACCTGGTACCAAGAAGAGCGGGGGTGGGGGGAGGGACGGAGTGCGGTAGGGGAAGAGGCGGTAGTAGGGTACCGACTCGTCGAACGTGACGTCCTGGGAGGACAGAACACGTCGAGAGGAGGGGTGGTAGAATTGCCACCCAAGGGCGTCGGGGGGGAACCCTAGGAAGACGCAGGGAGCAGCGCGAGGGGACAGCTTGTCCGCAGACAAGTCGCGGACAAACGCCCGAGATCCCCAGACCCGGAACGCCGACGCATCGCCAACCTTCCCCGTCCACAGCAGGGCTGGGGAGGTCTCCGGCCTGGAGACCCTGGGGTGGAGGTTGATCTGATGCGCTGGGTACCTGACCGCAAACGGCCACAGAAAAATGGGGGGCAGCCGCATGCATCATGGACGTACGAGCGACGTCCATGACCATGCCAATGCGGCGCTCAGCAATCCCATTTTGCTGTGGAGAGTCCGGAAGCGTGAAGGACTGGCGGATGCCTCGCGCCCGACAGTAGGCACGTAGAAGGCCAGAGGAGAACTCTCCGCCTCTGTCAGAGTGCAGACGCAACACAGGAAAGTCGGAGCCAAAGCTCTGCCTGAGCTGAAGACGAGCTGCGCGGATCCAGTCGATCAGCACCTCAGTAACCTCACCCTTGCTGCGCAAGGGGAAGACTGTGGTGTAACGCGAGTAGTCGTCAACAACGAGCAGGAAGTAGCGCTCCTGACCCTGTCCACGGACGCGGGCTGGGCCCCACACGTCCATGTGAAGTGTCTGCAGCGGGGCCTCTGTCGGAGGAAACTGGGAGGAGTGAGGGGCAGCACGCTGGCGCCCCTCGACACAGGGGACACAGGCAGGGCCAGGGCCCTGAGGAAGGGGAGGTAGAGACCGGGGGAGACCAGACACAAGAAGACGGGAGGCCATGCCTCTGAGCCGAAGCAAAGAGGGGTGGCCAAGGCGGTGGTGCCAGAGGAGGGTCTCGTGAGACAGACGACGACACGAACAGGGGGAAGACTCAGGACCAGACCTGGACGCTGCGGCAAACACCTGACCAGACAAAGGGACCCTACCAGACTCAGTACCTGGAGGAGAAGCGGTGGTCAGTGTGTACAGGCTCGACCCTGGCCGACGTGTAAACGTAGACAGGTGGCGTCCCGTGCTAGCCTCCGTGCAGTGGGTCACCCGCTGACGAGCAGGAGTGAACTGGTGGACACCCGCATCCTGTAGGTC